GGACGCGAAGCCAGGCCCCTCTCGAGGAGCCCAGGCCACCGAGGAGTCGCTGCGACCTGTGACTTGAGAGCTGCGGAACTACCACTCCCGTTTGCCTGCTGGCGATCATCTTTAACCCCCCGGAGGACGTCAGCATCCAGCTGCAGCGGCGCTCTCCCTGCCGCGGAGGACAGGACTACCCCTTCGGGCGTGACGGATGGAGACAAGCCTCCCGGAGGACCTGCCCCTGCCGTTGTGGCTCGCGCGGCGCCCGCCACCGCCGTGAACCAGGGTGGGTTAGTGCCTCTTCTTCCCCGCAAATGTCGTTTCTTCCGCTGTGTTTTCTCCCCGGGGTCGAGTTCCCTAACCCTCCGCACACATTCCTCGCAGAGACCTTTAGTGTTGTGACAGCTCTGCCTGCATTTTCCATCTAGAGTAATTTACCAGGAATGTGTCTGTCTCTCGGTTGAATAGCCACCGCCGTGAACCAGGGTGGGTTAATGCCTCTTCTTCCCCGCAAATGTCGTTTCTTCCGCTGTGTTTTCTCCCCGGGGTCGAGTTCCCTAACCCTCCGCACACATTCCTCGCAGAGACCTTTAGTGTTGTGACAGCTCTGCCTGCATTTTCCATCTAGAGTAATTTACCAGGAATGTGTCTGTCTCTCGGTTGAATCACCAGAATTCTTCCTAGGGGTTAAGCTAAAAAGCGAGGAGCGAGCCCCTCTCCAATGGCTCAGTTTTGCTGAATAATCACGTGTGAATCGAGGGGCGGGCTTTTGGCAGGCAGATCTTACTAGTATTTACTACCAAGCTCTACTCCAGATTAACCATCCCAGTCCTTCTGTCAGCCTCCGATGCCATCATGCAGCCTGGTTAGGAGCGAAGGAAAGGGAGAAAAGAAAAACAACTAATTCATCTTTTCCCGATCGTCAGGACCCTAAAGAATGGCCGAACCTTGGGGGAACGAGTTGGCGTCCGCAGCTGCCAGGGGGGACCTAGAGCAACTTACTAGTTTGTTGCAAAATAATGTAAACGTCAATGCACAAAATGGATTTGGAAGGACTGCGCTGCAGGTTGGTATCCAGAGAGGTGGGGGAAACAGGTCAACAGCGTTGCCTACGTGACCCGGGTTTCTAGAATAGCAGCTTTTAAGCTTTGAGGGGTACAGAATTTCACTGTTTTTAAACCTAGTTGGTTGCCATATTTTATATCTCTAAGTGGATCCAACTCCCCAAAATGACGTACTTTGAACAAACTCGTCAAATCCAATAACATCCATGATATCAAGTAGATTCCAGGTTTGGTCTTAATTTTCGGAATGTTTTTATGATGGTGGGTATTTGAAAGCCATCGTAGCAGCGCCGAGTTGGGGGGGGAGGGGGATAGACAGCTCTGTAAACACATTATTATGATTATTATTTGAAGTAAATACGCTGCTATTAGTGGTTTTCATACTTTGCTCCTATAATTGACTTTAACGTTAATTTTCTTGACTACTGGCAGGGATGTTTTCCTTCGAATGCTCCACGTTTTGACAAACAACCTTTCCTCATTTGGAATGGGTGGACTGGGCACGGGGACAGGATGTACATTTCACAGTTAATGTAATACCATCCACCCATTCAGGATTGAGGAGGAATAAAAAATTGAATTTTCTAATCAGAGCTCAGCTTGTGTTTTTGTCTCTGCGGTCATGCCGTGGTATGTTCTAATTTTTAGTTATTAGATTTACAAGCAACAAATGAAACAAGTCCAGCTGCCAAGTATTGTACCTGATAATTTTTTTCCTCCTCTGGACATTATCCTGTAACTTAGTTGAAAGGCTTAAAACAGAAAAATGGAAAATTGGTCTCAAATAGTTGCTTTATGAGAGTTCTAATGATATTTTTGTGAGCTAGTCTTATTCGGAAATGCTACACTCAAAACATTGAAAATTGGAGAGAGGGTTTTTAAGGTTACTTATTTTAATTACAAGAATTAGAAAATTTAAGTGGAAGGATATATACTATTAACTGACAATGCCTATACAGTCTTACATTTTTAATCAGAATACACTGACCTTGCAAAATTTTCAGTATTATAGAAGCTTATGCATATATATTAAATAATTTGATCTTGTTATTTCAGATAGATTAAGTGGGGAAAGGATTTTTTTCTTTTTCTACTTAGTAGTTTTAACAGGTGTGGTGATAGCAATGCCACAAGTTTAATATATTTAAAAGTTTCCTATTGAAAACTGAAAGATTTTATAAATCTCACAATGAGACTCTTAACCCATGTTAAGAATAAAACCTTGCAGGACTTTTGACGAACAGGAAGACTGGGAAATTAATACTGAAAACAAGTTTTGACAAACATTTTAAATAAAATCTGCAACCTTGTTTACATTAAACACATTTATCAAGATATGAACACCCACTTATTGTGAATTAGTCCTTGTACATATGATGAAATACACACAAACAGGAGTCTCAAGGCTTATTTTCAGTATGTATAATCAGGACTCTGAAGTTGTGTCATAATTCAAGAAAGAACTTTCCTTTAAAACAATTTCCAATATTACTGTTATTTACTATGAAAGATGGTAAATTTCCTTCTACATTTATATTTATTTAGCTCAATTGTAAAAGTTTTTTTTCCCTTTGCTACTGTAAGCTTTTCAATCAGTATAATATCAAAGGCCTTAATCATACATTTCCTTTACAGAGATCCAAGTTGTCTGTTTCTTATTTTCCTAGTCCAGGTTCTTAAATGTGACTAAATCTTTAGAGGCAGTTGTGGCAAAAAATTAGATTGTGTTGATTTTTAATAACCAAAAGTATACTTCATTGAAGTTCTTGAAAAACAAATTATGTATCATTCTTACCACTGCCCCAAAGGCAGGGCTATAAGCCAGGAAGGTTTTATCGACAGGGAGGCTTAATATCTTGGACATCTATATAGTTTGCATTTATAAAATATTACTTATTCTAATATTACTTAATTTGTGATTATTTTTAAAAAACAAACATTCTAAAGGGATAAACTTTGTATTTTCCAATGGGTTATATTTAATTTCACAAATATTTGAGTGTCTATTATGCAATCTATGTATTATAAATTTATATTATTATGAGTATGCCTAAATATAAATGAAATAAGTTAAAATGCTGAAATTTTTGGCATTTTAATGAGACTATATTTTTTCACAACTAAATTACATGTAGTATAAATAACTGCGTGCTGCTCCACAAGGTATTTTATAAGTATGAGAGCCTAATAGACATCTCTTATTAGAGTGAAATATGTATATTCAAACAAAAGTAGGTAAGTCTTTATCATGTGTATTATTTGAATATTGACAGCAAATTTTAATACAACATTTTGGCTTTTCAAGTGTTGGCAGTTTACAAATAGCTATTCCTAAATTCCTGACAATAACTGCAAAAGGAAATAAGGTGGGATCACCAGCTGATTACTAAATGGGCTCAACCACAGACGCTGTCTGTGTCCCAAAGTACATATTAAATATCTTAGTTTCTTTTGCTCACTTTAAAATCAGAAGGCCAATTAGAACTTTAAAAACAGTAAGTAATATAGAAGGATTAGACTTCCATTCTTTTCAAGAGCAGTTGCCATATAATCATCTCCTATCTGATACATGGCATGTCTTGAATTTTGTTTTAGGTAAGTCAGTATCATAAACATGGAGAACGCTATTATTTACTTAACACCTAATAATCAGTAATATTTAAAAATTTCAAGTGAAGAATTATAAGTGCTAAATACACCTCATACCTCGTAGCCAATATGTAATAATTTGCAAATAAATTAAAAAAAACAACTTGGGAATTTGGCACTATAGCTATTGGGGGAGAACTTGTGAAAATTAATCATTTAAGAAAATGTCAGATCTGAATTTTTAATAGATCATTTTTACACTAGGTGATGGAGACTGATGTGTAGAAACTCTTCTTTGGGGATTTAAAGAAACTCACTCCCCTTATTTCTTTTCAGTGGCTATTTAGAAAATAAATGTTACCCACCTTTGATTTTCCAGAATACTCGTATATTTTATGAGTATGAACAAGCACAGAAGACTCTTATTTAAATCTCAATTTCCATTTCTTTTCTCTTAATAAATTCACGAAGTTACACACCCCGTTATGGGAGATAGAGAACTGAGTTGTGAGTGAATTTTATACAATTTGAACTAGTTCTATTTTACTGATCAATTTATCCTACTTTGGGGCCCATTTAAGATATTCCATCATATACGCTCAATTTTTATAAGTTTTCTTCTAGTTATACCTACGAGTACTTTCCTTCTTGCAACTGAGTCCTTCAAACTCCATCACGTGGGTCTTCCCCAAGTACTTCTTCACTAAACATAATTACATAAATAGGAGAAGTGGATATTTTAAAATGTTCTTGTAGTAGAAGCACTCTACTCTCTTCTTTTCCAGGTTATGAAACTTGGAAATCCCGAGATTGCCAGGAGACTACTGCTTAGAGGTGCTGATCCCAATTTGAAAGACGGAACTGGTTTCGCTGTCATTCATGATGCAGCCAGAGCGGGTTTCCTGGACACTTTACAGACTTTGCTGGAGTTTCAAGCTGACGTGAACATCGAGGATAATGAAGGGAACCTGCCCTTGCACTTGGCTGCCAAAGAAGGCCACCTCCGGGTGGTGGAGTTCCTTGTGAAGCACACCACCAGCAACGTGGGGCATCGGAACCACAACGGGGATACCGCCTGCGACTTGGCCAGGCTCTACCGGAGGAACGAGGTCGTTAGCCTGATGGAGGGAACCGGGGCGGAGGGAGCTGAGAATCTACAATGAATGTGGGGAGGGCTCTCCCACACCGCCTGCTATTCTGTCAGTTAAATGGTTGGCTGTCCGATTTTAATATCATTTGTTAAAACTCAGTTTTGTCATATCTTAAGCAGCTTGTGAAATCTTCTGAAACTGCTAAATGGAAATCTTACTACAGGTTTATGAATATCTTTTTCACCTACAGAATCGTGAGTTCTAACATATAATTGCAAATAGCTTTGGCTTTCTTCTTATTATTTTATCTTCCCTTTACTTTTTCTTGGCTTATTTCTCCCTTTGCTAGTCTCGATACCCAACTTGATGACTTTATTTTAAAAATGATTTGTCCTGATGCTTCTTTTGCCTAATTAAAACACTTTTTCAAAACAGGACAATGTTTCTCTGTGACTTCCACTCCTCTACTAGAATAACCCCCATATAATTTGCCACCTCCTAGGAGATCACGTTTAATATCTTGTCATTAGAAAACATAGACCAACTGGAAAACTAGGCATATTCTCTTGAGGATTCAATTATTCTTTTCTTCCTTGCCTGATGTCTCTCCCAAAAGAGTTTACTTGGTGCCTTGTATTTCTGCTTTAAAGTAGAATAAGAACAACTTTTTTGAACATCAAACCTGAAATTATTTCAGTGTGAATTAATCCTACTGTTCAATCGTCCCTTTTTCTCGAACTTAATTGAATAGTTGGAAAAACAGGTTTCAGAATAGCCATCTAAAAACAATTATATGTTAGCTCTAAAAGCCACTTTTAAAAGAAAGTACCACCTTAAAAGTGCCTCCCATTAGTTGATTTTTAAAAAAATCACAAATAAAATAATTCGTTAACAAATTTCCCCAAAATAATACCATAAGTATACTAAGTGCAACATTGGCTTTTTCTCCCTGAATGACAGAAATGTAAAATTATAAAATGTCTATGTATTAAAAATAATACAAACATAAATTTTTAGGGGGTTAAATGTCCAGCAAGAAAAAATATATAAATTACATGAGAGTCATAAGTATTTTAGGGGCTGCAGCATAATAAATATGTAAACATTTACAAAAAGTACATACGTCACTCCTACATATAGTACTTGATTCCCACAAAGCTTATTAGTAAAGGCATAAAAAATATTTTTAAGAATATGTTAAGCTAAAAATAATTTTTGAATGACATAAAAATAATCATATTTCTGAGAGAATTTTCCAGCATCTATTAGTCTGTCATTTCAATTAAAGATTGTAACCAGAATATTTCAATGCAGTTACCACTTGTAAATTTATAAATTCTTTATTCATATTCTCCCATATGAACAAAGATGTTTTATGTGAAAGTTTCCTCCTTCTGCTTCACAAGCTCTCTGCCCTCGCTCCAAAAAGAACAAAATACTTCAAGGTTTATTGAAGGATATGGTTCTGATGCCTACCCTAACAAGGATTGGAATGATTGCAAGGCAAGTGGTTTTTCAATAATGTGTTTTTCATGATAATATAAACAGAGTATAGGATAAGAGATTTAATCCTTTAAATTTGGCACTAATGTTCACCTTCCCTAAGTGCAACAGGATTTCAACTTCTGCCACCTCCAACCACAAGTTACTGAACAAATTTATTTTTGACAGCAACATGAAATTAAATTTAAAACACATTTGAAATTTTAGAAAAAGTAGAAGTTGAGATGATTTTGAAGGAAAAAGTGTTGTATTTGGATTTTAAAACTAGAATCAATGTACAAAACATTGCTTAAGTAAGATGACTATTTTTCTAAGCATAAGATTACTAAAAACATAAAACAACCCTTCTTAGAAGTTTTAACTGCAAAGATGGAAGTTTATGAATTTAAAGTCGAGTTTAATGGCCTCTTACGTTTCCACCAAGTCTCAGTATTAAAATTGCTCATTGGAGACCAAATATAAAGTTATAGGACTCAGAAAGCTAAAGAGAAGGAGGTACTCCTGCAGTGGCTTTGTCCATAGGTGGTGGGAACGCATAAGGGGACAAGGAGCTCATCTCTTTCAGCCTAAAATTTGCTAGTCATTAAATATCGCCACATTTCTCTGGGAGGAAATAGCTTTGCTAATCTAAGTATTTTAGAAATGAGTTATGTGGTCCCCTCTAGGAAATATGAAAAACCATTATTCATTCTCTCACAAACCTCAATAATATTCGGTAAGACTCTTGAATATGCCGACACGTATAGGATGAAAGAAGGGTGTTGCTGAGTTTAATAGAGTCTAAACTTTGCAGTGAGCTGAGGTGGGGAAGGGTCTGACCTTATTCGGATGCAGAATGAAGAGGCAAGTGCTAATTAATGGAGGGGTCAGAGCCGGCCCCCGCGCCCCCCCCAGAGGACGCTATAGAAAGGATGGAGGGTGCTAAACAGCTCTGCCCTCTTAAATTCAGTTCTCCACTGCGTCCGTCTGTCCATACCCAAGTTATCGGGAAACTCAGGCTCAGCCTTTGCCCAGTATAAGCTGAATCCGGACTTACACCTTGAGGGAGGGGGCACTAACTGTGCCTCAGTCCACGTTCTGTTTCCTGAGACAGTAAGCCAACTGCATTTTAACATATTTCAGTAGTGAATCAATACTTTTCTGGTGAACATTTCGCATCTCTTAACGGTGCGAGATGAGCTCGTACACACACACACACACACACACACACTAAATGCTGGGTGATGGATAAATGAATTCGGTCCCGACAAGCAATTCAATTGGTAATATTATAAATTCCCCTTATCGTGGGATCTGTGGCTCCGGACTGGTTTCGAAATCTCAGTTCCCAAAAAGGTGCTTTTGCCTGGAGTAGAAGCAATAGCCCAGAAGCGCTGCAAGATCACAGCGCTGGAGCGAGAAGGGTGGTATTTACAGCTTTCCTGACTGCACTGAGCCTTAAGTGACCTTCATCAAATGCCTACGGGGCGGACGGGGTGGGGTGGGGAGTCCCTCTCTTGGTCTCTAGAGACTTTTGATTTTACACTGCAGTTCGAACACACACACACACACACACACACACACACACAGGTCCACGCAGGGACCTAGAGTGAGGCAGCAGACAAATATTCTGCCCATAGCCAACCCAAGCCCCCTTTGAGGGGCTGCGAAGACATCCTTTCTGTCCTTTCGAAATTGTCCAGCCTCCCACTGCAGCTCCGGGCTCTCTAGTGAGGAAGCTGGAGCCCAGAGCTCCCTCAGGGCGCGCAGAAAAGCCCGGGTTGGGTGGGGGTGGGGGAGTTTCAAAACCGTTAGCTCGCGTTTTTTTTTTCTTTTCCCTCCCTCGCTAAGGTATCTTTTCTTTTCTCTTCCTGTCCAAATATTTCAAATTTCCGCGCCTTAAATAACAGTCTCTTTTTATTTAGTTGGTTTCCTCGGCAGGTTTGTCCGCCCGGCTTGTCTCTGCCCTGCCCT